GGCGCTGGGGACACGGCAGTGACCCAATCAGCCGCAGATCTCCGCTGCACGGAGCTCACACCCGGGTCCCCTCCCCCGTCCCGAGGAGGACCAGCGGTCGGGTCGGGGCGCGGCGTGCGGGCCGCAGGCGGGCTGGAGGTGCACATCCCGGTCGCCCGGCAGGAGGACAGGAAGCAAAATTACCCTGGGCTTCCAGAAACGGGGGACACATCCTGGCCTCTCCAGGGATCACCTCGTCCGCCCCGGGCTGTCTACGTCCCCAAGGCCCCAAAGGAGAGAACCAGCTGTGCGCCTCGCCAGTGCTGTGTGGCCTCAGCAAAAACGCTTTCCCTCTCTGAGCCTCCCTGCCCTGGTCATGCACAGGGTCGGACACCCGGCCCTTCTCCGGGGCGTGTCCGGCCGCGTCCAGGGCCGCACACGGACGTCGGTCGGGGCACTCACCGGCCCCCGGGGACAGAACGGGAAGTCCGGACGGGACGTGTGGGGCCCGGGAGGCTGTGGTGTGGACGGGTGACCTCCAGGCCTCTGCCCCCGGCCTCCCCCGTCCTTCCTGCGAGGCTGAGTCTGCACCAGAGTTTCCAGCTCCCTCCGCACGGCCGCCTGGGCCTGCGCCAACCTGCAGAGTCACTTTCAAAGAAAAGTTTCTTTTTCTTCCCACCGGCCGGGCTCCCGCCTGCTCGCCTGGCTGCGGGCCCTGGCAGGCGCCCGTGGCCGCACGGCCCGAGGTCAGCCCGTGGCCGCCGCCGTCCCCGGCCGTCCCGGCTGGGCCGCTGCCACGGGGCCTGTGCCGCCTGGCCGCCCCTGACGACGTCGGGGCCGGGGACCCGGAGCAGCTTCGGGGCGGCCGGTGAGGGGCGTCCGGCCTGGGGCGCGCCCCGTAGGCCGCAGGGCCCACCGGGAGGCCCACGGCCTGGCCCGTCCCCACCCGGGACGCCCGGGAGGCCACGCCAGCCCATGACATCATCGCTCCGGCAGCCATTTTCTCGCCTCTCCCTGGCCGCTGTTCCAGATGCTTCTCTGGGCCTTGGCGGCCATTTTGTGCGCCCAGGAGGAGCGGCGGGCGGCAGGGGCGTGGGCGCCGGCGGTCCGGGCCGGGGGCGGGGGCGCGGGGCGCGGTGCGGTGGCTCTGGACAGGGCCCGGCCCGCCCCGCCGCCCCGCTCGGGCTGCCCCGGCCCCCAAGGGGTTAAACCGCGAGTGCCAACCGGAGGGCGCGGCCAGCCGGGCACCCACCGCCAGCGCTCGGCACCCCGAGGATGTGAGGAACAAAGTTAAAAATACCCACGGGCACCCCCACGGCCTCCAATGTCAACGTGTCGACGCCGGGGGGGGGGCGGCCCTAAAATAGCTCGCTGTTTACACTCGGCGAATTCTTGGCTTCTCAGCCTCGCGGGCTCCCGCCGCCTCCCCGCCCGCCGGCCGGGCGGAGCCCATGTGCACGGCCCGCCCGCGCACGCGCCACTTGCCGGCCGCGCCGGAAGCCTGGGGCACACGCGGGCAGGGCGGGCGGAAGCGCCCGAGGACGCCCTCTGCCAGCACCCACGCGGCGCCCGGCGCCCTCCCGCCTGGTGCGGCCTGGCCTCGGCCGCCGGCCAGCGTGGAGGGGAGGGCTGCCACCCGGGCGGCGTCCTGCCCCCTGTGCTGTGTGGCTCCCGGCGAGCCCTGCCCCTCTCTGGGCCTGGGGTGGGGGTGGGGCGGGAGAATGGGTCTCCCGTCCTATGT